CGCCCGGGGGGGGGGGGGGGCCGTGCCAGCCGGAAGGAGGAGGTTGCGGACGCCCCGCCCGGGCGGGTGCGTGTTGCCGGCGGCGTGGAGGGCTGGAGAGCTCGCGCTTTGGGTGTTTCCGCAGCCCTGCCGCCTGCCTGGGTAGAGCTTTCCTCGTGTGCTCACCGACTGGCCTGAGCGGTCACTTCGCCCCTCTGTGCCTCAGTTTTCTCATCTGCAGAGTGGGGACGGTCACAGCCGTGTCATAGAGTTGTGAAGCTGCCGTGAGGGGACAGGGCTGCTGCTCTCAGCCGTAGCCACCCTGGGAGTCCTCACACCGGGAGAGTCCTCCAAGTTTCTCCGCCCCGGCCCTGCTGCCTGCCGCGGGGTGTGCTCGGTCTCTGCCCCTCGTTCCAGTATGGGGCAGCCTGAGTTTCAGAAGGCAGCAGCAGACCCACTCGTGCGTGTTTGCCTCCAGCAGTCGTGTCTGAGGCAGATCGCCTTCTTCTCTTCCAGGGGTCTGGAAAACCTGGCCCCGCATCGGAAGCTAGACTTCTAGTGTGACAGCAGGGAAGTTGCACACGTTGGTGATCAGTGCCCCGCTGCTGCACTGGAGTGATAGGGAGCAGATCACACTCAGCAGTGCCTAAAAGTACTTGCGTAAATGCTAAATAGTGAGGCTTCAATGGAAAGTGGAATGACTTAATTTGGACTGTGACCTGTTGCCGCTGATGGGAAGTCAGGGTTTTCCCGGTCCAGTGGGTGCTGGTGTGCCAGTTCCGGGGGTACTGGATTTCCAGCCCTCTCAGCAGCTCCTCCAGAGTGTTTCTTGGTTGCTCAGAGGCCTCTGTCGCTGAGGAAGTCTTTGGCAGATTGCTTCTCCCAACCTGCTGCTTGGATGGGCCCAGCCCTGTAGAACCCCTCTCTTCCATTCTTCTTTTTGGATTTCTGGGCGTGCACACACCTGCGTCCTGTGTGTTTTCCAGGCTTCCAGGTCCAGGACTCAAACTGCGAAGTCAGCCATGAAACCAGCCCTTTGGAACCCCTTCCCAATCCCCTTCCCCAGCCCCACCAAAGTCCTGCAACACCCAGCTGCAGAGACATTCTGCCTTGGGGCCAGGTGGTAGCAACTGCGCCCACGCGGGAGAGGTCCTGAGGTGCATCCTCAGACATCCCTGAGCACACTGGGCACTTGTCTGCATGTTTATGATGTGGGCCCGCTGAAAATGGATGGGTTGTGCTTTGCAAACCTTTCTACTCTACTTTTTTTCTTTTTTGCTGTAGGGAGCGTGCACTTGCTGTAGACAGACAGAGGGAGGGGAAAAGTGAGAAGTACCTCCCCCAGGTGGGGATGGCCGCACCACAGTCCCTTTAAACCGGGAAGCTGGCCACGTGGGATCCAGCTGCCTTCACTACCACTCTGTTGGCTAGCCCAGGGCCAGAATCTTTTAACATCTGTCCTTTAGCTTTGCAGAAAAAATAAAAAATAAAAACAGTTTTTTTTTTTTTGTTTTCTTGTTTTTTTTTTCATTTGGAATTAGTAATTGCAGGCCAGCAGGTGTACTCCATGATCAACTTCGCAGTTCAAGTCTTGGACCCGGCAGCTTGAAAAACACAGAGTGCATGTGCATGAATGCCCAAAATTCTGAGAAGAAAATAGCGGAGAAGGAATTGTGACTTGACCATCTTCCCCAGGGGGTGATTTCTCACTTTTCCTCTCTCTCTTTGGCCAGCACATGAACCCTACAGCAAAAATCTTAAAGACAAAAACAAAAAAACAAAAACAGCACTCTTCCTAGTTTAGTTTCTGTTTTTCGTGCAAGAGTTCTGTAGTGTTTAGACCACTGTTACAAGTTTGGAGCTGCAGCTCTTCACCACATCCCTCCTAAGGATGAGTTTGGTTTGCCAGGATCCTTTTAAAAAGACCAGTGCCTGTAGCTGAGTACAAAAGTCTAACCTCATGGGTTTGGATGAGGAAAGAGCTCTCCTTTGTGTGGACTCTGCTTCTCTAAGTGTAAGCGTGTCCTGGAGGGGAGCCTGGGAACAGGGGAGTCGACACATCATTCCAGTAGATCCTATCACTACGGATTCTGTTACCATCCTAAGATGCTTCCACAAGAACTGTCCAAGAACTGTCATCACCACAGCTAAACTTAGTTTTCAGATGTAGATGCCAGACTTGGTTTGTCACTTTTCTGTCATTTGCTTTTTATTCTGTATCAGTAGCTTTTGACCCATTCTTAACTGTTGTCTGAGGCACTTATTTGGCACTCATTGCTTTGATTTGTGATTTACTCATTAAACAGATGTTTGTTTTATGCCCCTGTCTGACCCTGGAGATGGAGTCAGATTAGACCGAGTTCCTACCTACAGGAACTGGTCTAGCCCAGGGTACGTGAGGAATACCTACACACAAGCTACGGTGCCACTCAGTCTGGGCCTCTCAGGTGCTAATCGCCTGCCTGGGTGCATGGAGCACTCATTTCTTGTCTGGGTTGTATCTTGACTCAAGTCCAGCTTCTGTCTGGGAAGAATAGCCTCTAGAAGATAGGATGAAAAAGCTTTGTCTCCAGTGCAGACTGAGAGGGCAGGGTGGTTGGCTAGCTCCAGCCTCGGCAAATAGGAGCACTGGATGACATCCTTTAGGGTTTCCATTTACCATCTTAGAAGGGAGTCAGGAAGCGGGCCAAGGACCATGGCAATGTTACCTACTGTATTGCATCCCAATGGTGATAAGCAGCACAGGCACCAAAAAGGAAGGAATTGCATGCTTTTCTCGGGGCTACCGAAAATGGGAGATGCTTGGGTGACCGTGTCCCTCTTCACCCAAGGTATAACGGGAGGGGCTTTGGAGGCTATAGTGGGGATTGAGAGCGAAGAAGAGAGGAAAATGGCTTCCATTTCTGGGGTGTCCTAGAGTAGAGAGAGGGGAGGTATCTTGGGCCTGAGCAGTAGAAAATCCCATGAATGTTTCCATTTTTTTTGTTTGTTTGCTATTGGGCATGTGCTCACCAGAGGCTGTGTGAGGTAAGGAGAAGTCATCCCTGAGGGGGATAGCCATGCCGCAATCCCTTCTCTTTCATTCTTTCCTCGGGATTTTGGGCATGCTTTTTTCTTTCTTTCTTAAAGAGAGATTTTTTTGCTATGGGGCGCATGCGCTCCCCAGAGAGATAGTGAGAAATCACCTCCTGAGGGGATGACCATGCTGCAGTCCTTCTCTATTCTCCTTTTGGGATTTTGGGCACTCATGCAATCGTGCTCAGCGTGAGTCTCAAGCCATCAGGTCCAGGACTCGAACCATGGTCAACTACATGGGAGGCCAGTGTGGTAACCATTATACCACCTGCTGGCCCCACCCAGCCAGCATGATTTTCAAGCTACAGGTCTGGGACTCAGCTGTGCAGTTAACCTTGTAGGATCCTGGGATTCAGCTGCCTTTGACCACCACACCACCAGCTGGCCATGTTCTTGATTGGGAGACCAAGGCAAAAACCTCGCCGTACAGTGTAGCTGGGGCAAGTGTAGACATTTCTTTCGAGGAGTTCAGAAAGGGGAGCTGGGGAAACAGCAGATGCCGTAATGGCTACGTTGCTGGACTCCCATGTAGTCGACCACAGTTCGAGTCCCAGACCCGGTGTCATAAACACGCCAGGCACATGTGCCTGCGTGCCCAAGATCCCAAGAGGAGAATGGGAAGAAGGGATTGCGGCGTGGCCATCCCCTCAGTGAGTGATTTCTCACTTTCTGTCTCTCTGTCTCTCTCCGTCTTTCTGGCAAGCGTACCACCCTATAGTAAAAACCTCTCCAAAAAAAAAAAACCAAAAATGAAAACGAATAAAAAAAGGGGGGAACCTGACTCAGCCAGGTGAGAGGAGTTGAGAAATTATTTCCAGGAGGAAGCGGCCCTCGCTCTGAGTCCTGAGGACAACTAACGGGAAGGAGCTTCTAGAGGAACAACCGCCTCATGAGTGCAACAAAGGATGAGACTGGCAGACTGGAGCCAGTGGCCAAGATGAATGGGGTGACAGGAGTTCCGGGACAAAGCTGGGCATGATTCCGGGAGGTGTGGCAGAGCGGGGCCTTTGCACCATCTGAGGCCCAGGTGTGTCCCTCACCAACTGGTCGGGCCTTGGGGACAGGCACTCTGTTAGCTGAGACACAGGAGATGCTCGGTAAATGCTGGTAGTCTCTGTGTTGCTTAGCTTGTGCTCTAGGGTGCATGCGCTCCACAGAGAGAGGGAAGGTGAGAACCCTCTCCTAGGGGATGGCCACCCCGCAGACCCTCGTCCCCCATTCTGCTCTCAGGGTCTTGGGTACACATGTGCATGCTCCTAGCTTAATTTTCAAGCAGCAGGACCCTGGACTCAAACCGCGGAGTTGGCCTTGTGGGATCCAGCGCCTTACCCTCTATGCCACCTGCTGGCCTAGTGCTGGTAATTTTCAACCCAGGGGACTTGTGTACTAGACAGGCTCCCTTTCGAAGAAAATCCAACTAACCCAAGTTTAATGTAGAGGAAAGGGTATCATCAGCACAGATAATGAACCAAGCCAGGGAGATAGTCGCATTAGAATCAAACTGAACTCTTTTTTTCTGCTCCTCCTCCACTCCTTTCTCCTCCATTGGCTTTCTCTGCTGTGGCTTGTGTCCCCGTTCTCTCACAGCTACTTGCATGGAGCCCATACAGCTGCTCGACTTCTGAGCCTGTGTCCTTTCACCTCCTGGAGGAAGTGCTGACAGAAGAGTCGGCTTGAATTTTCGAGCAAGGCCCTGAAGCATAGCGGGCCAAGCCGGTCTGCCCTTTGGCCGTGTGCCTTTCCTAGTCATGTCTCGACCAGGGCAGCACTGGGCAGGTTTATGCACAGGGCACAACCAGCCGAATATGTCGTGCAGCGCACACAGCCATCTCATCCATGCTGGTGTGTGCTGGGTGCCTTTCATGCACTAGGCCCTGGGAGTTCGCGGGCATGGAAACAGACTACACGTACGAAATGCTCTATGACAGCTCTGTGCAGGGGAGTACCTGATTAGTAATGGGAGCACTTCTAGTACCCTTCCTGAGAGTTGCTTAATTTTGTTTGGCTATATTTATCATCAGGCCAGAAAGATTTAGAGAATACCATGGCAAGTTAATGGTCTGGCTCTACTTGGCATTCTTTTTTTTTGTTGAGGTTTTTGCTATGGGGCGCGTGCACTCGCCAGAAAGACAGAGAGGCAGAGAGACAGAAAGCAAGAAATCACCCCCCAGGGGGGATGGCTACACTGCAATCCCTTCTCCATTCTCCTCTCGGGATCTTGGGAACACACGCACTTGCGCCCGGCATGAGTTTAAGCCACCGGGTCCGGGACTCGAACTGTGGTTGACTACATGGAAGTCCAACGACATAGCCATTATGCCAACTGCAGGTCCCATACAAGGGTAGCCTCTTAAGGACACTGGACTTTGCATACAAGGCAAGAACACTTTTACTTCTTCTTAAAATCCTTTAGTTTTCCTTTTCATTTAACATCTTTGTAGCATTTTTTTTATGAATTATTTTATTTAATTTTTTATTTTTTAATGTGACCAGAGAGGGACAGAGTGAGAGGGAGAGAAAGTGAGAAAGCAAGCCGCCAGGTCCTGGACTCAAACTGCAGTCAACCATGTGGGAGTCCAGTGACCTTAACCACCATGCCACCTGCCGGCCCCCACATCTTTATAGCATCTTCTTGTGCCACATGTTAGAGGAGCTTTTTCTCATCCTGGTGGTGGAGATTCTGAGCTGAAGTAAGACACTTCTCTGAGGGAACCTCTGTCCAGTAGGAAATTTCGTGGAAGGAATGACACCTGAGGTTGATGGGTGGTGTTTGCAGAGAGTACTGGTGTGGGAAATAGGTGTTTGGGAGATGGCAGAGGGGGATTCTCACAATACATTGTACATTATCCTTGCAGGTGGGTATCAAATGGTGAGGGTTGAGAGTTTTAAGCATGGGAGTTAGATGAGCAGGTTAGCATTTAGAAAGATAATGCCGGGACCAGCAGGTGGTGTGGTGGTTAAGGCGCTGGACACTCCCACGTGGCCTACTGTGGTTCGAATACTGGATCTGGTGGCTTGCTTTCTCACTTTCCCTCTCTCTCTCTCTCTCTCTGTGTATCTCTCTCTGGTCAAATTAAAATAAATGAATGAATAAATAAAATTAAATAAATAATTATTTTGGAAAAAAAAGATAATGCCAATGATGGTGGTGATGGAAAGGATGGATAAAGGATGAGAAATCTGTCCAGGAGACCATTTAAGAATTTACTAGATGGGGACCAGCAGATGGCATAATGGTTATGTTGCTGGACTCCCACATAGTCAGCCGCAGTTTGAATCCCAGACCCAGTGGCTTAAACTCACACTGGGCGTGTGTGTATGCGTGCCCAAAATCCCGAGGAGAGACTGGAGAAGGATTGTGGCATGTCCATTCCCCCGGGGGGTGATTTCTTGCTTTCTGTCTCTGTCTATCTCTGTCTCTCTGGCGGGGACTGGCAATTTACTGGAATGGGACTGGCCCGTGGCCTAGTTAAGGGAGCCAAATACCACATGGCTGACTGTGCAGCTCAATGCTGGGCCTGGTGGCTTGGATAACGTTGTAGGTGCGTGTGTGCCTGATGCTCCAAATCCCAGCAGGATGGAGAGAGAAGGGATTGGGGTGTGATCCTGCCCATCGTGTGGTGATTTCTCCCCCTCTCTGTCTTTCTCTCTAGCTGAGAGAAATGTGCCACCTGGCAAATTAAAAAAAGAAAGAAAGAAAAAGAGAAATGAACTTCTTGTAATGGTTGAGACAGGAGAAGAGGGCCTGAACTAAAGCAGTAACAGTGGGGAAGGGTGGGAGATAGGTGGAGAAGTGGCAGTACAGACAGGTAAGCTTTTACCGTCATTTGAATTGCCAGTACAGTTATTTAATCCAGAGACGCTATTCATTGTTGACTGGCAGAGAAAGCAATCCTTAAACTTTACTTTGGACAGTCCACCTAACTGCTTCTTTGCGTAGCTTGTTGGAAAACTGAAACTTGAAGCCAGTTGGTAGTGTGGACATTTAGGTGTTAGGTCCCACATGGCCGACTGCAGTTTGAGTCCCAGACCCTGCCGCTTGAAAAACATGGCAGATGCATGTGCACGTGCACTCAAAATCCGGAAAGGTGAGATGGAGGAGAGGAGATTACTGGGTGGCCATCCCCTCCCTGTAGGGACGGCTTCTTACTTTCCTCTTGCTCTTTCTGTTTCTGGCAAGTGTTTGCGCCCTATAGCAAATCGAAGAGAGAGAAAGAAAGGAAAAAAGGAAAGAAGAAAAACGCTGTGTGTTTCAGAGTTCACAAGTTAGCACTGGACGTTTGTTTTTTGTCTAACCCTCCTAATTTCTTCTCTACATTCCTTGGCCCTTGGCCATCTCTCCTGCTTCTCATAGCCTGTGTTTTGAGTGATTCCAGGTTGGTGCCTGGTAATTGCTATGACTGAGTGATGTGCTGGGTGAGCGTGAATTGTCTTAGTCACGGAACGATGTTGTCTTGCCTTCCCATTCAGCTTGAAAGACGATGACAGTGGGGACCACGATCAGAATGAAGAAAACAGCACACAGAAAGATGGTGAGAAGGAAAAAGTGGAACGGGACAAGAGTCAGGGCAGCAGCAAGAGGAAGGTGAGCTCTGCCGCAGTGGGCTTGCCTCGCGCTCCAGGCTCCCTTGTGGAGCCCCTTGTCTGGGGGATACCAGATTGACGTGAGGGTTTTGGAGTAGCCTGTTTTGGTCCCCAGAAAGATTGCAGAATTACTGGTGTTCCCTAAGGGACTTGGATCTTCTCTTGTGCCATAGGATCCAAGCTGCTGTCCTGCTTGCAGCCTTCTCCCCGCCTGAGGTGGGGGAGAGGTTCCTGTGGGCTGCTCCGCATGCTGCTGCTGGGTTTCAGGTCCTACATATCGCCTACATTTTCAACTCCAGTCATGGTCTGAGTTGAAAGTGACTTGGGGGCCAGCTGGTGGCATGGTGGTTAAGGCAGTTGGATCCCACATGGCTGACTACATGGATTGAGTTCTGGACCCAGCAGCTTGAAAACTACACCAGGCAAGTATAGGTGTGTGTCCAAAATCCTGAGAGGACAGTGAAGGAGAAGGTGTGGAGGAGAGGGATTATAGCATGGCCATCACCTGGGGGTGCTTTCACACTTTCTCTCTCTCTCTCTCTCTCCTGTTCTCCTTCATGTGAGCTCATGTGCCTTGTGGCAAACTGAAAAAAGAAAAGAAAAAGTAGAAACCAGCAGGCGGCTTGGTAGTTGAGTACTGGACTCACACCGCAAGTCAAGTCCTGGACCTGGCAGCTTGCTTTCTCACTTTCTGTGTCTTTTTTTCCCTCTCTCTCTGTAGTGAGAGCATATGTGTCTTGTAGCTTTTTTTTTTTTCCCCGAGAGGTTTTTGCTATAGGGTGCATGTGCTCTCTAGAAAGACAGACAGAAAGTAAGAAATCACCTCCCCTCCCCCATGGGGTATGGCCACACACCAATCCCTTCTCCTCCCTTCTCCTCTGGGGATCTTGGGCATGCACACACACATGCCCACCATGAGTTTAAGCCGCTGGATCCAGATCTCAAACCGCAGTCAACTACATGGGAGTCTAGCGACATAGCCGTTACGCCAACTGCTGGTCCCTTTATAGTAAATTTTAAAATAAAAATAATAAACAAAATTAGTTTTTTCCATTTTTTAAAGAAAGTGATTCGGAAAAGAAAATTTTTTTTCAAGAGTTTTTTGCTTTAGGGTATGTACGCTCACTAGAAAGAAACAGACAGAGACAGTGAGAAGAAAAATCATCCCCCAGAGGGGACCGCCATGCTGCAATCTCTTCTCCTCCATGCTCCCAGTATCTTGGGTCTTCATACACAGAGACCTGGCGTGATTTTCAAGCCACTGGGTCCAGGACTCAAACTGTGGTCAGCCATGTGGGAGTCCAGCAATGTAACCTCTACACCATCTGCTGGCCCCTGGAAAAGAAAACAAAAAAATTTTTTTTGAAGAGGTTTTTGCTATAGTGTGTATGTGCTCACCAGACAGAGAGAGAGAGACAGAGAGACAGAAAGTGAGAAATCACCCCCCAGGGGAGATGGCCACGCTGCAATCCCTTCTCCATTCTCCTCTCGGGATCTTGGGCACGCAGGTGGTATAGTGGTTAAGGTACTGGACTCTCACATAGCCAACAGTGGTCTGAGTCCTGGACCCAGTGGTTTGAAATTCATGTAGGGTGCAAGTATGTGTGTGCCCAAAATCTTGGATCACACGTGCCCGGTGTGAGTTTAAGCCACCAGGTCTGGGACACAAACCACGCTGGACTACATGGGAGTCCAGCAACATAGCCTTTATGCTAACCACTGGTCCCGGAAAAGAAAATTTAAGGATGAGAGACAGATGGATCAATTTTTTTTCTTGAAATATCAAAGCCATCATTCATTCATTCATTCCATGGTATTGAGTGCCCCCAAGTGTCAGCATTTTCTGCCTTGTGCTGAGAGGGCTAAAGGTGAATGCACGTGGATTGGGGAGCTTGTGTTTATAATAGCAGTAGCAGCAGCAGCTAGGACATACTGACAGTGGCTCGTTCTGCACCAGTGCTGTGCTGAGCACGTGACGTCTGCTACTGCATTTGATCTCTGAGCAAGCCTGTGAGCGGGTGATTACTCATTTTGCAGGTAAGAAACTGAGATGACAGACAGGTATAAATGCTAACTTGCCAGTAAGTGACAAAGCTGTCACAAAGGAGGCAGGGTGTATGTTGTGATAAGATGCAAACCTAAGTCTTCCTGATACAAGGTAGAGCACTATAAAAGCTGTAAGAATGCACAGTGTTACAGAAACTTAGAATTGGGCCACTGGGGAAGTTTGTGTGTAAGCAGAATCTTGCGCACCTTGTCAGTAATTGAGGTCGAATCTCTTGATCGTGGAGTGGTAAAGAGTGACTGAAATGTTTTCTCAACCTCACAGCCTGTGGCCAATGCCCAGGATTGATGCAGCTCTGTCTTTCCCAGGCTGTCGTCCCTGGACCAGCAGAGCATCCCCTGCAGTACAACTACACTTTCTGGTACTCCAGGAGGACCCCCGGCCGTCCCACGAGTTCACAGAGCTATGAACAGAATATCAAACAGATCGGCACCTTCGCCTCTGTGAGTACCCAGTCCATCCCTGCCTGGATTTATATCATGTGTATTTACCCTCTTGGTAGCCTATTTAAGACTATGGTTTCCTTAGTCAGCTGATCTGAGTGCCAAGGTCAGATTACTTCATCCTTAGTTTTCTCGTTTTATACTTGTATTGGGTCATCAGAAAAGTCATGGTGTATTTTTCTGTGCAAAAATGCGTCATGACTTTTCCAATGACCCAATAGTTAACCTGTAGATACTGACATTGTGAGAAATGTGGAATTGATTGATAGGGCATGATTCAAAAACATGGGTTCATATTTTTTATCTGATTTTTTTGTTTCTTTTTTTTTTTTTTGGAGAGATTTTCACTATAGGGCGTGTGCGCTCGCCAGACAGACAGAGAGAGACATAGAGACAGAAAGCGAGAAATCACCCCCCAGGGGGGATGGTCATGCCGCAATCCCTTCTCCTCCATTCTCCTCTCGGGATCTTGGGCACGCATGCACACGCGCCCGGCGTGAGTTTTAAGCCACCGGGTCCGGGACACGAACCGCGGTCGACTACGTGGGAGTCCAGCGACATAGTCATTACACTAACTGCTGGTTCCCAGATTTTTTTTGTTTCTTTTTTAAAAATTTTTTGCCAGAGGGTGCATGCACTCACCAGCAAAAGAGAGAGAAACTCCCATGGGGCATAGCCATGTCACAATCTCTTCTCTTCCATCTCTCCTCCTCGTGGGATTTCGGGTATGCATGTACACACACCTGGCATGGTTCTCAAGACATAAGGCCTGGCTCTCAGACCATTTAGTTGGTCATGTGGGATCCAGCCACCTTAACCTTCATACCACCAGCAGGCCCTGTTTACTTAAGTCATTATTTATTGAGTCCTTTCTACGAGCAGATTGTCATGGAGAATAGAAAATGTTATAGCACAGACTGTCATGAAGTTTGATAGGCAAGTGAAAAATAAAACTCAAGGGACCAGCAGTTGGCGTAATGGCTATGTTGCTGGACTGCCCTGTAGTCAACCGCAGTTTAAGTCCTGGACCTGGTGGCTTAAACGTACGCCGGGCATGTGTGTGTATGTGCCCAAGATCCCGAGAGGAGAAGGGATTGTGGCACGGCCATCCCCCCAGGGGGTGATTTCTCGCTTTCTGTCTTTCTGGTGAGCGCACGTGCCCTATAGCAAAAAAAAAAAAATTTCTCAAGAAAAGTAAAACTCAAAAGTCACTTTTATATTTAAGATCCCTCATTGAGATTTTACCTGTGTTAGCAGTTATCCTTAAGTTTTTGCTGTAGGAGACCTGCAGTTGCCAGAGAGAATGTGATTGAGAAATCACCCCCGGGGGTATGGCCATGCTGCAATCCCTTTTCTTGCAGTCTCTTCTCAGGATTGGGGGCATGCACGCACACATGCCTGTCATGATCTTCAAGCCGCTAGGTCTAGGATTGGAACCATAAGTTGGCCGTGTAGGGTAGTGCCTTAACCTCCACATGACCTGTTGGCTTTGACTTAGCATCTTTTTCCCATGTTCAGGAAGAAAATGAAGCCTCTAATAATTGTCCTGTGGCTACTGCCAGTCCAGAGAGCCCAAGCTCCAGCTTTCTTTCCCAGGTGCCTAGGTTTGCATGCCTGGCTGTCCGCAGCTAATACCTGTCTTGTTCAGCAAAGATTCCTGCACATCTCCTGTGTGTTCTACATTTGATCTCTGGGCAGAGTAGAATGGACTTGTCATTTTCTTGAAATTACTGAGATACTTGTTCTGTTTAAAAATACATAAACTGGAACGAGTACTACCGTATGTAGTGAACGTTACAGTAAACCAGTAGAGGAAGGTCACAGCAGCAGACACTGGGTTTGTGTGAAGTCCTCTGGTCATTACAGTAGCCCTGTGACTTTTTGTTTGTTTTTTGAGAGAGATTTTTGCTACAGGGTGCACACACTCACCAGAGAGACAGAGAGGGAGAGAGAAAGAGAGAAATCACCCCCTAGAGGGGATGGCTATGCTGCAATCCTTTCTTCTCAAGCTTCTCTCAGAATTTTGGGCACACACATACTTGCACCCTACATGAATTTCAAACCACTGGGTCCAGGACTCAGACCACTGTTGGCTATGTGAGAGTTCAGTACCTTAACCACTATGCGACCTGCTAGCCCCAACTTTGTGACATAGAATTTATTGGGTGGTTGGAAAAGTCATGATGTATTTTTTCTGTGCTTTTTTTTGGTGCAAAAATGCATCATGACTTTTCCAACAACCCAGTATATTTCGTAAGTCAGAAATAATTCTCTTTATTAAGTGTGGGAACCGTTGTTGAAACTCAGGTTGCATCGGCTGTGAAAGTCAGGTTCCAGAGCCCACGCATGACACCAAAATGTACTCCAAGAGGCTCCAGTCTTTTTCTTTTTTTCTGTTTTGTTTATTGACAAATAATAATTGTACACATTATGTGTCTGAGGAGTACAGAGTGATTTCTGAGTACATGGACATAGTGTAATGACCACAGAGTAATAGCTATACCTGTCATCTCCAGCATTTAAATTACTTTGAGTTGAGAACCTTCAAAATTCTCTTTCAGCTCTTTTGATTGGTGGCATCACTAGTTGACTGGTTAGCCTACTGTGCTGTGGAACACCAGGCCTTACTGTCATTCTGTGTCTGTCAGCCAGCATCCATGCATCGCAGTGTTCACGTCCTCCCACCCCCACTCCCTGCCCCCAGCTCTAGTGATCACTAATCATCTCTCTCCTTCTATGAAGTCAGCTTTCTTGGTTTTCATGTTTTAGTGACAATGTGTGATTTTTTTTCTGTGCCTGTTTCATCTCACTTTAACATAACATCCTCTAGTCTCTTCCATGTTGCCTCAAATGACAAGCTTTCTTTCCTTTCAGTGGCTGAATAGTATTCCATTGTATATGTGTTTGTGAGCATACATGCACACTCCATATTTTCTTTATCCTTTTGAATCTGTTGATAGACATTTAGGTTGATTCTGTGTTGGGCAGTTAGCTAGAAATGAGGGGATAGCCCTAAGAAAATAGCAGAAGTGCACCTGTCACATCATTCACGACTTATCAGGAGTTATGACTAGACCCTCTGTAGAGACTCCTTTTTCCCATCCAACTCCTGATGCTGGGAAGGTGGGGCAGATCTCATTTTTCTTCTTTAATATCTGAAAAAGGTACATAGGGACCGTTGTTAACTTCCCTCTTATTCCTCATAAATACAGAAAAACCCAACAAGATGTTTTGGTCAACATCCTGATTCCCACCGGGGCAATAAACTGATTGGGCAGTTAATCCAAATAAGGATGCTCATACCCTCTAAGTCCACAGTGAGCATGTGGATTAGGTCTTCGAATCCTCACCTGTGAAAGAGAGATGCAAGCGCAGGAAAAAGCCTCTGAACTTAGCCGCCAGATACTATGACAGACCTTCTCCTGCTAAATGTGCATTATCAGTCCTTGGAGTAAACGGTGCCAACCCCATACCACAGTTGCCCTTCTCTGACACCTGCATGGCTTTCAGGCGTGGAGATGTACTTCTTTTCTATTAAAAATCCTCACTTTCCTATGAAAACTTCCCTTTCCCTAAAAACTTTTAAGTGTTTGTGGTTTTTCATTTTATGTCTCAGGGCAGGTCTCTAATCTTAAATCTGGACCTCAAAAACCAAGGATTTTACACAATGCTGATCAACTTTCCCATCTGTGACAATTTCATATCTTGGCTGTTATGAATAGTGCTGCGATAAACACTGGAGTCCAACTTTAAAATCTTGCTTAGCAAATTATGTTTATTTTGTCATTTATTATTAATCAGATGCACATATTTAGCTGGTAACTAGATCACCTGCCTAAAGTGAGAAAGACAGCATTACCGAGCTGATTTGATGAAGTTTCTGTGCAAAGTAATACCTGTTTAGTTGACCTGTGCTGCCTTATCATTGGTAAATTTAGCCTTTTTAAGGGGTCAGCAGATGGTGTAGTGGTTAAGGCACTGGACACTCTCACATAGCTGACCGCAGTTCGAGTCCCTATCCTGGTGTCTAGCTTTCTCATGTTCCCTCCCTCCCTCTCTGTGTCTCTTTCTGGTCAAATTAACAATAAATGAATGAATGGGGGGGAGGGGGCAGCAGGAGGCGTGGTGGTTAAGGTGCCAGACGTTTCCACATAGCCGACCACAGTTTGAGTCCTGGACCTGGTGGCTTGCTTTCTCACTTTCCCTCTCTTTTCTCTCTGTGTCTCTATCTGGTCAAATTAAAATAAATGAATGAATAAGTAAAATTAAAAAATTTTAGTCTGCTCATGGGTGCTTATTTGGTTCAAGAAATGTTTATTGAATGGATTCAGGGCTCTGAGAGGGTCCTTAGATGACTTGAGGTACAGGACCTGTCCCTAGGGGAATATAGCATGCCCAGAAGTTTCTACAGGGTGGGCATTGAGCAGTGCTGTAGGAAAGGCTTGGCCAGAGTGCCCTTGGAGTCCAAAGGAGAAAACGGATTGAGTCCAGCTTGGGGCCAGCCACCTTGGAGGACATGAGTTCAAGACTGAATTTAAAAACAGAACAGATGATGAAAAAGGAGTTCTTGGCAGAGGAGCAATAGAATTAGACTTCCAAAACATCTATGTGGGGTCATTTTGTGGCCTGGTGGTTAAAGAACTGGGTCCTGGGACCAGCAGATAGTGTAATGGTTATGTCACTGGACTGCCACGTTGTCGACCCCTCTTTGAGTTCCAGGCCTAGGGGCTTAAAACTCACACTGGGCGCATGTGCATGTGTGCCCAAAACTCCAAGAGGAGAATAGAGGAAAAGGGATTGCAGAATGGCCATCACCCTGGGGGATGATTTCTTGCTTTCTATCTGTCTCCCTCTCTCTTTGTCTCTCTCTCCGGTGAGCGGACATGCTCTATAGCAAAAATTCATTAAAAAAAAAAAAAGAATCATGCTCATGCTCAGTGAATAGTCAGACACAAAGGACACATAATTCTACTTGTATGAAATATCTGGGTTAGGCAAATCTGTAGAGATTCATGGTTGGCAAGACTTTTAAAGTGGAGGAAGATGAAGTGACTGCCTAATGGTTATGGGCTTCTTGGGGAGATGATGCAAGTGTTCTGAAATTGGATATTAATGATGGTTGCACAACATCGTAAATAAACAAAATACACTAAATTGTAAACTGTGAAATGGTTAATGTGTTGAATTTTTTTAAAAAAGAATATAGAAAACATAAAAAAAAATTAAAAAAAAAAAAAAAGGAAATAAAAGAAAGAACTGGGTCCCAAATGGCTGACTATATGGTTTGAATCCCAGACCTGGTGGCTTGAAGAAAACACGCCAGGCATGTGTGTCCCAAATCCTGAAACAAGGGAGGGATGGAAAAGGGATTGCAGTGTGACCATTCCTGTTGGAGGGGAGATTCTTCTAATTTTCCTTCTCTTTCTGTCTTTCTGGTGCTCATATGCACCCTCTGTCAAATTTAAAAACAAAGAACCTATGCATTTCTAACATTCCTGAATCCATGCAACGTCTTGATTGCCTGCTGTCTGGGAATGCAAGGCATTACAGATAAAACAGCTGTCATTGTTATGGTCACCCAGTTAAACTCTGACAGAGGCCCAGCCCTAGTAGTGCATACTGGTTGCTTGGCAGATTGAGGCCACATGGGAGGCCCTGGTTCAATTCCCATCCCATCCTTAGAAAGCCAGGCATGGTGGCAAGGGCCTGTAGTCCTAGCTGCTTGGGAGGCCAAGCCAGGAGGGTTGTGACACAGGAACACCCTGACTTAAGAACCTTCACCTCCCCTACCCCCTACACACACACACACACACACATACACACACACACACACTCAGAGGATCAGAGAAGAAACTGGGCTGTGGAAGATGTTTTCACTAAGGAGCTATTAAATTTTTTAAAAGAAATGATGAATATCTCCAGCATTTTTTTTTATTAAAATAAAAAAGCATATGTGAATTTACCTGGCTTGTGTAAAGAGAAGGGGTTTGGTTTGCTTTCCTTCTGGCGTGTGCAGGTGAGAGGTTTAGCTTCAGTGCCGTCATGGCTTAGTGCTTCTGCAATACTAGCTGGGTGTGTGCTGGAGTGTGCCGTCTGCGGTACTAGCTGGGCGTGTGCTAGAGTGTGCCGTCTGCGGTACTAACGGGGCGTGTGCTGGAGTGTGCCGTCTGCGGTACTAGCTGGGCGTGTGCTGGAGTGTGCCATCTGCCGTCCTTTAATTCAAGGCGTTGGGAAATGGCTCATAGTATTAAATTCCTCATAGAAGGGGTTACATTGAGAGAACTGTTTATCAAGTCCAAAGCAGAGTTTTCTGGCGTGAGTAAGAAGGCAGCTTTCCATTTGGGGGTCACAGGGCTTATCTATTCTAGTACCTTACTCTGTGGGCTGGAGCAAGTCCTGAAGCCAGTTTCTCAATTCTAAAAGGAGAGAGGTAGTTGAGGTGATTTCTGGGATCCTGCTGCACCTCATTTTCTTTGTTTGCAAACATTAATTTTTTGTTTTTATAACTTTTTAACAAAAAAATCTTTCAAAGCATGACAATATCTCTCAAGCTGCTTACTTCATCTCTCTTGTGGTTCGAACATAAAATTGAGCGGTTGGATCAGAGATCAAGCTTAAAATGATTCTTGAGTTTGGAGTCGGGGGTGGTTGGTGTACCTGCCTCCCACCACACCCCCTGGGTATTCCTGACTCGCAGTGAACCTCCAGTGAGCCACGGTCCTATGCATGCCTTTGTTTCTTCCAGCTCTGAAGGGTAGATACAGGTTTGGGTGAGTACTGATCACGTGCACGTGACCACCCAAGTGTCCCAGGTCAGCGAAGCACTGCATCAGAGCCCCATAAGCGGCATTTGCTCCTTAACATGTAAGTCATTTCACGTGTACCTGTCCCAGAGAGGAACTGAAGGGAATCGACCAGTGTAAGGTCGATTGTTCCTCAGTTGCTGCTGCTCACATGGAGAAGTCTTACCTGAAGCTTGCCTTCATGCCCGTTTTCAGCCACATTATGATGGTGTCGTGTGTTACTTTTGGCCTCTGCCATAGAGGTATGCACTCGTCGGAGAGAGAGAGACAGGGAAAGTGAGAAACAGCCACCCAGGGAGAGTGGCCATGCTGCAATGCCTTCTCCATTTTACTCTCGGGATTGTGAGCATGTACACACACATGTCCAGTGTGATTTTCAAGCTGCCAGGTATGGAACTCAAACTGGTCTGCCACGTGGGAGTCCAGCCCCTTAACCACCACCCCCTCCTGGCCCCTCAACAGAGTGCTGGCAAATTCCGTGTTTTCTCTTCCCTTCTGAGCGGTATCTCCCCAGCTGGTAGTACTTAGTGGGTGTCCTCTGGAAATTATGGAGGAATAGGGAGACAATCCCTTGTGTCAAGACACCAGTGAGAGAAGCAGGACTAGTTTGGGGAGTGTAAATAAGCCTGCATTTGATAGAAAACTCAACCGTGGTTTTGTCCAGGATTGTGGAGAGGGGTGCAGGGAGAAAGCTCACATTCTACTAGCTAAGAAGGACTTAAGCCTCTTCTTAGGGGTGAGAAGCTACGCCCTGTTTGGTTGCTTCTGTCATCGTGGCACTGTGGTCTAGAGTAGTTCACGTCGTGGATTCCGTCCTTGCTGCTCAGGGACTAAACGGAACTGAATGTTTCATTTTAAGCTAATGCTGTATTTGCATCAAGAAACGATAGTGGTTCTAAAGAAGTACATTCAGGCTGAGTCTGTGTGGCATTTATTAGAACTCAACACCAAAGGGTTTCCATTGTGCAAACCCCCCCCAAAACACTGGCCCTCTTCCTCCTCACAGTGGTGACCTCGCAGCTTCAGTGGGGTGGCTTCTGCAACAGTGAGATCTCCCTGCTAGGGCTAACCATTTCTTACTCAAAAATGATTCCTACCTTGCCAGAGTTACATTTTTCTTTTATGAACCTGTATGATGTTTCTCCTCTACTGTGCCTTCCTTTCCACACAGTACTCCAGATAAATGGACCCTCCTGTTAAATGAGTTGCAGAATTCTAAATGCATTTAAAGAACAGTGCTCTGGGGTCTTCTCTCTGCAGGTGGAGCAGTTCTGGAGGTTTTATAGCCACATGGTTCGTCCCGGGGACCTGACAGGCCACAGTGACTTCCATCTCTTCAAAGAAGGAATTAAACCCATGTGGGAGGTGAGCACTGAGGACTTCGGACTACTTTTTTGAGCAAAATATTTTTAAGTCCTGTCAAGGTTAAAAGTGTTTTAAAGGCTTCCCAAAACTGCATTCCTGAGACCTGGCCTCTGGGGAGAGCCTCCCCCATTGCTTATCCCTGTGATTATCATTTTTTACCAAAATGGTCTATGCCATCAAAGGGCTTCTTTAATCTCCTGTTCCCTAGAACTTGTTTCTGTGTGTGCATGATGTGTTCATATAGCGACATATGGTTAGAGTGGGTAGGAAATGGGCTTAAGGGCAGCCGTGGAGACACAGAGCTGGGCCCCGGGATCTCTCTGCAGGCCACTGGTCGGCTGAGCCCCGGTGTACTGCATCTGCCATTCTGGCGCCAGGACATTTTCCTAGGAGACAGGTGTGATCGCATCACCCACACCCCCGTTTTGCACAGCTCTCCGTTGCTCACATGATCTGGAGGCAAGTGTACTTTTCAGGTCTCGTCTCTCACCAGCCCCGAGTCTTCCCTTCCCAGCAGCTGCCCCTCCTGCCAGCATCTCCCTGGCTCATGCTCAGTTTGTGCACACACGTCCCTCCCAGCACCCTTCACCTGCTGCCCCGCTGACCTGTTTCCCTCACACCCTGCAGAAGCGGCTTCTTCTCCTGAGTACCTCCTGCTGTCGCACTGTTCCCGAACATCGTCCACGTCTCTGTTTAGCAGCACTTGGCTGTGTCGCCACAGTGCATTTTTCATCGCCACTTATGCTAGAGTGGGTCTGGCGGGGACGCTCGGGAACTTAGCCGATGACATGATGAATGATCTGGGCTAGAAGTCTGACATTTCATTTTGATTCCTAAAATAATCCAGTAAAGAGGGTTTACTTATTTATTTATTTATTTTTAAGTATTAAGTTTTTATTTGAAGTAGTTAATGTGGGATTCAGGATGAACTGGGAGTCATAAATTTTGGAGAAGAGAACTAATGACACAAGAGAAGTAAAACAGGCTTATTTATTTATTTATTTTCTGAGAGGTTTTCGCTATAGGGCGTGTGCGCTCACCAGACAGAGACAGAGAGACAGAAAGTGAGAAAAAAGCCCCCGGGGCGATGGCCACACCGCAATCCATTCTCCTCTCGGGATCTTGGGCACGCATGTACATGCGCCCACCGTGAGTTTTAAGCCACCGGGTCCGGGACGCGAACCGCGGTCAACTACGTGGGAGTCCAGCGACATAGCCATTACGCTAACTGCTGGTCCCGAAAAACAGGCTATTTTTGAAGTTCCATGTTGGGTAAGGTAAGTGTGTGTATGAGGTAGTTAGGTCCAAGTAACTTTGTACAACCAGAAGCAGAGCTGTCTGGGGGGTCATTGACTTCTCACCGCTCTTGGTCTTGTCTTCCAACTGTTGAATTTTGATGTTCTCTATAACCAGGGATACGTTTTTTGTTTTCGTTTTCATAAAGAGAGGGAGAGGGAAAGTAAGAAATCACCTTCTGCCACCAGGAGGGATGGTCATGCTGCAACCTCTTCCCCCTCTTCTCCTCTCAGGATTTCGAGCACGCACATGCATGCCTGACACGGTTTTCAGGCTGCTGTGTCTGGGACATGAGCCACTGTTGGCCATGTGGGAATCTAGCACCTAGACCATTATGTCACCTGTTGGCCCCAGGTGACATGTTTAAAATAAAACCAGGGATGTGTTTTATTTATTAAAGAGGTAACACATGTTTTTTCTGTTTGCCTGTTTTTTTTCTCAAAGATGTAGAAGAGGATTTTGGATGCTTTTTGTTTCGTTTTCATTTTGCTATAGAATGCATGCACTCACTGGAGACAGATACAGAGAGAGAGGGGAAGTGAGAGAGTATCCCCCCAGGGAGGATGGCTACACTGCAGTCCCTTTTCCTCCATTTTCCTCTTGAGATTTTAGGCACGCACATACACACATGTCTGCTGTGTTTTTCAAACCGCTGGGTCCGGGATTCGAACAGTGCTGTTGATCATGTGGGATCCAGCTACCTTAACCACCACACCACCTGCTGACCCCCAAGGATTTTTTGTTAAGTCAGGGTGTGGCTATGTTGCCCAGGTCAGTCTCGAGCCTGTGGTCCCTCTGCCTCAGCCTCTCCCATTGTAAGATGACAGGCATGCACTGTCATGCGCAGCCTTTAGGTCAGACCATGAGTTGAACTGGGGCAGGCTTTTTTTTTTTTTTTTTAAATGGCTTATGCTAAGCATCCTGTTTTTCTTTTCCTATTTCTTCTCTCCCCAGTCTTAATGCCATTTCTTCCATGAAGTTGGGTAATTGGAAAGTGACACCACTACTTAGTATTCGAGGGCTTCTTCATGGTTTTTTACTGTCTTGATGCAAAAGAAAAATAACTGCAGAACCATTTTTTAACTTTTCATTTTCTGTCTTTATACAGGACGATGCAAATAAAAATGGTGGCAAGTGGATTATTCGGCTGCGGAAGGGCTTGGCCTCCCGTTGCTGGGAGAATCTTATCCTGGCCATGTTGGGGGAACAGTTCATGGTTGGGGAAGAGATCTGTGGGGCTGTGGTCTCTGTCCGCTTTCAGGTAAGTCGCCACAGGCCCGTCTGGTTTCTCGAGTTGCCTTTGCTCTCCTCACTGCCTCCGTTTGCTTTCATGATTGCTTCTGTCCCTCCTGCAGGAGGACATCATTTCCATCTGGAATAAGACTGCCAGTGACCAAGCTACCACAGCCCGAATCCGGGATACGCTGCGGCGAGTGCTTAACCTACCTCCCAACACCATTATGGAATACAAAACTCACACCGACAGCATCAAGTACGTGCTGGGGGGGCCGGGCGGGACATGTCCCTCAGCGTAGCAGGAGACTGTAGCTGGGCCCAGACGACAGTGGTCGTGTGTGGAGAAGGGGCCGGCCCGCTTTCCCCCCCTCGGGCGCGGGCACTTGCAGTTCTTTGTTGGCAGGCTCCCTGCCCACTTGCACAGCTCGGTGCTTTGTAGCCACAGTCCTTCTGCAGGAAGCCAGAGTCCTGCAGGAAGCCAGTCTCACTGCCCGCTTCTTGGTTTCCACAGGCTGTCCTGTCTTTCGTATGCTAACCTCTATGAGAAAATGAAAGACAAAGCGCTTTATTTTTTCTTGCTGTTTTTTAAGATACTTCACCGAACAATAAAGTCCTCTTCCCCGCCCACTCCTCACCCCACTTTTGCATGTCTGATTAACCTGTTAGCATCAGTCTGTTTTCTTTGTCCTGAGAAACTGACTTCTGAAGATGACTCCACTTCTCGTGAGTGGAACTGGAGTGGAGAGGAAGCAGGGTCGTATGTGAGACAGCCAAGCAGGAAGGCCACAGGGAAATGGGCTCCAGGAGTGGAGTCCTGGTTGTCAGAAACCAGCTCAGGTTGTTAGCACAGGGTTGGGGCAGTGGCTGTCAGATGATCTCCGCAGGGAGGAAGGGCCAGCCCAGAGGAGCCAGGCTTTGAGGTGCAGTTCCCACCTGTGGCCCAGTGTCAGCATGTGCCTTGGGCCAGTCTCCGAAACTCTGCTTTCAGTTTCCCCACCTGTCAAAGCGGGAACAGGGATAACTGACCTGACATGGCTGTTGTGAGGCTGACTTAATCCTTACGCCCTCGGGCCCTCAGATGGACAGTGCTCTCACAGGGCCATCATTCCCACCGTGAGTAGTAACATCACACCATCATTCTCTTACCAAAGGCCAGTGGAGAGCCTAGGGATTGTGTTCACAGGCAGGCCATCTGGGACTCATTCTCAAGCACTCCACGCATGGTCATGGGTGGAGTTGGCATCAGCCAGCCAAGTGCCAGTTTGTACCTGGGGGCACTGCCATGGGAGCTGGTCTGTCCTCAGAGCTGTGATGCGTCATAGCCACCTGCAGTTACTAGCCAGCCGTGGCCATGGTGGCTTCCTCAGCAGTCCTGTGTTAGCGCTGTTTTTCTCTGGACAGATTGTTCTTATTCTCTGTTCTGGGATAGAAGTACGCCCTCCCCTCTAGCCAGGTTCAGTCTAAGCTAGAGAGTTTGAAACCATTTCTAAGACTTATTTTCAGGGTCCCAGAAGCCCCCAACCCCACCAGTCCCCAAAGCCAGCTTTCACCTGGACAGTAAAGGGAAAGTGGTAGTTGCCATCCCCTCTGAGGTAGTTGCCATCCCCTCTGCCCTCTCCACTGCTCTCCCTTCCTGAGGTACTGAGGCAGCTCTTCCTCACTTTTGTAGAGGCATGTGGCCGAGTCCTTGCAGTCCAGGGGACTGTGGGCTTTGTTCCTTAGTTGGCTGGGGAGACTGGCCTGCTGTGCACCGCTCTGTCTGGAGGGCTGCCTCTGGTACTCCAGGCCTGCAGCCATAGGCACCAGGATGCCCTTCGCGAGACCCAGACACTGCTTTCCCTTGCATCCCCCTCTCTTTCCTCTCCCAATGAGCCAACCTTTTGCACTTCCACTAGAATGCCAGGCAGGCTGGGCCCCCAAAGGCTCCTTTTTCAAAACCTCTGGAAGCCGCGGTTGAATGTGCCATGACCCTCTTCCTCTCTGGATGGCACCGTCATTGAAGCTGGCGTCATCGGAGTCTCTTGTTCTGTTGGCGTGCCACCTGGAAGATGCTTCTGTCCTGGACAAGAGGAAGTGGAAGAGCATTATGTTTTAAGAACAGGCTGACACGCAGCAGCTCCAACAACAGCTGAGATCACTTAATAAATGGTGCTAAACTAGCTCGTCTCATGCGCTTGCTCTTTACGGTGCATCACAGATGTGGCCTTCCGGACTGACTGTCACCATGTGAAGGGATGGCTCAGGCCTCTCCGAGGAGGGCCATCCGGGAATGCAGCCTTGTTCCCCTAAGCCCAGTTCATAGTGTCACATGGTACTTACCCTCTCCCAGGACTGCTGAGGTGTGACGTGAGGAGGTGGCAGCTAGCTCTCAGAACAAAACCCCCTTTTCTGGTCCTTGGACTTTAGCTCCCATTTAGTCACTCTGGAGACCAATGCGGAGTGATTTCTGATTACAAGTTCAGCTTGAGCATCTGTTGAGGTTGGAAAGGGGGATCCTTGACCTTCGCTCTGCTGGCTTCTGTCTGCTTTTCCTTCAGGAAACTTCTTGCTCGGAGGTGAAACCACTTCTGTCTGTGCACCTCTCCACATATCGCTTCCTTGCTTTGTGCCAGTGGGATATCTCACTGGTGCCAAGCTGCCCGAGCCATGAGCTTTGCCAACCTTCTTTCTTCTGCCTTCCCTTCAGAGCCAGATTGTCTTTCTCTTGGAGCTGGCCCCGCTTGCAGGCTCTCAGGGTTACAGCCCTTCCCTTTCTCCCAGTCCCAGCGTCGCCGTGCATCAGGGTCTGGCAGGGAAGCGTCTTCCTCCTGCGTGAGTGTGCCCCGTAGTACGTCCGACAGGGTGCGTGCCAGCCCTTCGTGTACCTGTGGCTCTGGCTTGTGTGGGCTGCAGCTTGGCCTCATGGCCCCTAACCTGCATGTAGAGTTCCAGCAAGCTTCCTAGTACTTCAGGTTTTCTTTAGCGCTACCACCCCAATCACAAATCCACAATTGTTTCCACAAACCTGGGGCCAGGCTGCCTGAGAGGGTTAGTGGGCGTGGCAGTGGCTATCTGGCTGAGTCTGTCAGAGTGGCTGTTCCACTCTGGTAGGGACACCCTGTGCTGGGACAGTCCTGACTTTGCCCTAGTCCCCATGTGGCCTGGGAACCACAGAACACATTTTGGGACTAGCACAGTGGACCCAGCATTTGTGGGCTTTTTGTTTCCTTGCTTCTTTTTTAATCGCACATCCAGTATGCCCTGAAGTACCTAGAGACATGGACACTGCGCGCCCAGCATCTGTGGAGGAGTTGCCTCCTCCGACCCTTTCCCTCTGGCCTCCCACTGTCATGAGCATTGACCTGAGTTTGAATTTTATTGTAACGGAGGTAAGCCTGTGGCACCTTCCAGAGTTCCCTGAGTGGGTCAGAAAGTTCCACACCGATCTGGAGACCCTTCTGAGCCTTGCCGTGTGAACCAGGGGACCCCTCTGAGCTTCGCCGCGTGCGAACCAAAATCAGGGCTGGTCCTGCTGTGCTCTGTCCCCGTGCCTCCACAGAGGTGGCTTTGTTGGGGCCACGGAACGGCAGCTGCTGGGACCGCGGGATCCAAGGGAAAGGGAGAAAGAGCTAGCGTTGCTCTCCCCCGGTGTCCAGTGGGACCACTGGCAGAGCGAGGCTTTTAGGAGTGCTTTGGGTCTTCAGTCCAGTGTCCTGACTCCAGCTTGCTGTATTTGGTCTCATTTCCAGAGTCTGTTTTTAGCTGTGTGTGTGCCCAGCTTTGCCGCACACATCTGAGGCTCTGCCACTGCACCATGCTGAGCCAGGAGGTGACCGCTGCCCCGGAGTGGGTGGCCAGCCTCTCTGCTGCCAAGGCTCCTGCCCTTGACTGTTGACAGCAGTTCTCCCCGGATAAATGGAAACCTGTTCAGTGAGTTTTTGCTTGGGCCCTGGCTCTTTTTACCGAGGCCAGGTCATAGTTCACAAGGCCCAGAGGTTTGGGTCCCTGTGAGCATCTCAGGCCCAGCACATCCTCTGCTTTGAGGCAAAATCTCACAGCAGCCAGAATCAGGTGGCCACCAGGCTGAGGCCGGTACAGAGCTGTGTAGAATCACACTGGCTTCTCTGAGGACACTCCTCTTCGAAGTAGTTCATGGGTTCCCTTTGTGTGTCTGGCCTGGAATGAAAAAGGAAGGACAGGACTGCATCCCATAGTGGGCCACAGTGCTGGGGGAGCCTGGCCCGACCTCTGCAGCAAAGCTGAGGGGTGATTCTCTGCCACTCTGCTCTAGAGGAGAGGCAGATCAGATCAAACTGGAGGGACTGCTTTACCCTGTCTAGATAAGGTATTTCAGTCGGGCCACTCAGTCTGTCCCTCTGTCGTAGCTGGGTCACACAGCACAGCTGCTGGCCTGGCTCTGTGTTCACATGGACAGTGAAGTGAAGGCCCTCCTCCCGTTAGCCAGAGGCCGAGCTCCTCAGCAGTGCTGAGGGCTGAGCGCAAGGCTGTGGACTTGCAGGCTGGGCCGGGTACAAGGGGAGGGACAGCACAGCTCTGCCCGCGGCCTTCCTGTGCCTGCTGATGAGAAGAGATGGAGCGAGAGCGGTCTTGAAAGGACTCTGGTTACTCGATTGTTGGTTTAGAATTCCCTGTAGCTATATTAATCTCAATCATTTTTTCTTCTCTTTAGAAGCTCCAGTCACGTGACACTTTTGATAGTTAACCTGTTATTTTTTTTTTTTCATCTTAAAAAAAAGAAAGAATGACCTAATATGGCTGGGATCTGGGTGGAAACAGCTAGAGTATTCTCCCCTTGCTGGGGTTGCCTCTGAGCCAAGCTATCGGCCCGTGAGAATTAGAGTGAATGTACCAAAGACTGGGACCCTGTTGAATTCCCTGGAATCCCTGTGAGCAGACTTCTCAGCCCAGATTCTTCAGTGGGGGTCTGACAAACAGTGAAGATACACCTGAGAACCCAGGAGGGTTGCTTAATCCCAGGTTTCTCCAGGTTCTTGACACCCGAAACCGATCTGGTAATGCTAGTGTGGGAACAGGTTTCTTGGAAACCAAAGGGGCAGTTACAATGACCTAATATGGCGGGGATCTGGGTGGAAACAGCTAGAGTATTCTCCCCTTGCTGGGGTTGCCTCTGAGCCAAGCTATCGGCCCGTGAGAATTAGAGTGAATGTACCAAAGACTGGGACCCTGTTGAATTCCCTGGAATCCCTGTGAGCAGACTTCTCAGCCCAGATTCTTCAGTGGGGGTCTGACAAACAGTGAAGATACACCTGAGAACCCAGGAGGGTTGCTTAATCCCAGGTTTCTCCAGGTTCTTGACACCCGAAACCGATCTGGTAATGCTAGTGTGGGAACAGGTTTCTTGGAAACCAAAGGGGCAGTTACACAGCTGTGTAATTTCTGGTTGACACCCAGATGTTTAAAGTAGAACTTAATCTCACTGTCAGGTAGAGTAAGGGGCTCTCCTGGGTCGTCACCCAAATGTTGGATTTTGCGCTGCCCTTGTGTCCATTTGAAGTGAAGTATGGACTTGCCTCCTGGCGTCCCCTGTGGGCTCGCGAAAGCACCACTCCACCGTCTCCAGGTGCTGTAGAACAGACGTCTCGGAGGAGGTCGTTCGGGGTTGACGAGGGCTAGGTGCCGGTTCTGCAGTCTCAGCTTTCCCCAGCTCAGTGAGCGTGGACTGGCGGCTTTGCCAGTACTCTCTGAAGAAACTGAACTGCAGGTCTGCCTCTTCAGTCCTAGGGGTAAAACATTAACTTTTCAGTGAGCCACTTGAAAGGGAAACACCCGCTTGACCGGAATAAAATTTCCCAGGATTCGTGTGTCATGTCAGGGCCCCAGTGTAATCCCTCTTTTTTACCAAAAGAGGGAATGCTGCCTGTGGGAAGCCTGGCAGTGGTGCCCATTTCAGTGTCCTATGTGTATGCAGCGAGTGATGACGTCCCCCAGGGTACCCTGTCATCAAACCTAACCAAGCATGGAATAATTGGTCATAAGGAGCTTTACATGTAGACTGTAATATGAAATTAAATTTTAACCATAATCTCGGAATGTATCCACTTGGGACTGAAAAGCAGCTAAGGAACCAGCTCCTCTGAGAAAGCTTGAGGTGGTGAGAGCTTCTGGAAGCCCAGGGAGCCTGGTTTTCCCTAATTGCAGTCTGGTCTTCGTGGAGCATTGCCTGGGGAGGCTGCCTAGCCCTAGCTTCCTGAAAACTGAGCTAATCAGCATGGAAGTTGAAATGAGTGTTGTTCAACTGGAAACTGCCTTGACCTACACAGCTGAGATTTTAGGAGTGGTTACATGGGTATTCTAAGGAGCAGATGGAGCGCGACGCAGCCGAGAGGGCGAGAAGGCTGGCAGTGTGGACGTGGAGAAGGCCGTCATCTCCTCCTCGCCGCGCTAGGCCTTGCAGTGCTGTTGGGGCCTTACCTTGCTCTCAGGAGAGGCCTAATGCCGGTTCCCCTGGGCAGCAGAGGCAGGAAGTTCTGTTGCCCTTTGGATGATAGGGCAGAAGAGTTCCCAGGGATGGTTGAGCTCCAGCTCTGAGCTCTTGGGTCCCTGACCTCTCTGTCCCCCCATAGCCTTCTGTTTCAAATCCTCGAGGCCATAGTGAGGCCAGACTCCCCATGTGGAGCCACCAGAAGTGCCAACTGCCCCTGAGAGGTGTAAGCCACCGGGCTCCCCAAGGGGAGCACTTCGCAGCACCTCGTCCCTGTGCTTGGGTCCCTGGGGCCCCACTCTGCTAGGAGGGCCTCTGACACGGGTGTGGGATTATTGCGTGTGCTCTGTTCAAAAGCTTTGATCTGAATGTGCTCTTGTGTTTTTTTGTCTCTGGTTTGCCAGGGCCTGGGAGGAGTTTCATGGCCTGGTGAACAGCAGCGGCCGCTGATCGGACGCTCCCCCTCTGTCTCTCACACTCAGGGTAGGGCCTTGTCTATCTTCTCTGTAACCCTGGGACGTAGCACCCTTCTTCCCTAAGGGATGCTCCCTGCCCACTTACCCCCAACCTTGCCTCTGCCAACGCTGACCTCAGAGAAGAGTCTGGAACTGCAGGACTCTTGTCCTCTGTTGGTCGTGTGGCCCCTGGTGACTCCTGTCAGGTTGCCTAACCTCATTCTGTCCACTTTCTCATTTGGAAGATGAGGCACCATAGACCAGCCGGCCTCTGAGTCTGTTGCGGTGATAACATTTTATGAAGTTAAATGTGGCACAGATTGGGTCAGTAGGTGGCATGGAGGTTAAGGCTGCTGGATCCCACTTGGCCAACTGAATGGTTTGAGTCCCAGACCTGGCCAGTTGAGAATCACACAGGGTGCCTGTGTGTGTGTGTGTGCGTGTATGTGTGTAACCCAAATACCAAGAGAAAAATGGAGAATAGATTGTTGTGGCCATCCCCATGGGGGTGATTTCTCACCTTCTCTTGCTTTCTGTATCTCTCTTTCTCCAGTGAGAACGAATGCTCTCTAGTAATCTAAATAAACAAAAAAAAACCAGTGCCACAGATCTTTTTCCTTTTGCTCAGATGTAGCCTTTGCTAAGCCATCTGGCAGCATCCTGTGACTGACAGGGCAGGTCCACAGGCCCCAGTGTGGGCTAGGTGACAGGTGTGTCTCTTGTTTGCTGGTGGTGGTTGTCAGTTACGAGGGGACAGTAATGTAAACCCAGGGTTTAGGCGATGAGAGGAAGTGGGGGCAGCTTCCGGGCTGTCCTGTTAGCCAGACCAGTCCCTGCTGCCTGGGACATTGAAGCTGGGGCTGCCAAGGCTCTCCCTCCAGGGGCGTTCACATTTCAGTCCACCTGTGTCTCTGTGGCAGAGGGAATTGGGTTACATTTATCCTGAATGAGAGGAATCAGTGAAAGGCCGGTGTCTGTTCAGGACGGGAGCGCCTGCCTGTTCTGGACCTCAGCTGCAGCACAGCGGTCCCGGGGAGACAGAGTAGTTCAAAAATTGGAACAGAGTATGTCACTGTCGTAGCTGCTTCAGAATCCCCCGCCCAGGAAGGAGACCTGCGTGCCTCAGCCAGGCTAGGAGAGGACACGAGGGGACAGAACAGTGGCCAGGGAATTGGGTGCCTGTGGGATCCCTGGGTAGGCAGCCACTGGGTTCTTGCACACACGGATGACCCCACCACATTGTTTTTGAATAGTTGGATTTCTTTAAGTTCAGTTTTCAGATGGTAACACCAGATTTAAAAATTACAATTGAAGGGAGTTGGCAGGTGGCATGATGGTTAAAGGCGCTGGATTTCCACACGGTTGATCACGATTCGAGTCCTGGACCTGGCGGCTTGCTTTTTTCTC